ATGCCTTTTTTCTCTCTAAGCAAAAAGACTTCACCGGGGCCTCACCCCTTTTATGGGAAATAGCATTTTCCCAGCTCCTCAGCTAATAGCTAACTTTAAGTATAAAGTGAGTTTCACCTTCCTGGGAAAATAGAATCTTAGAATCTTGATGCTGCAAAGGATCTTAAAGGTCATCTAGCCTAAATTCTCTGCCAGCGCAGAAAGATTCTTTATGGTATGCCTAATAGATGGCCGCCCCGTGTCTTCTTGGATAGCCATTGATGAGGAGGGACTGGAGTCCTTCAGGGGTGCTGTTGTGGGTTGAATCATATACCACCAAGAAGATCTGTTGGAATCCTAAGGCCTAGTACCAGTGAATGTGACCGTACTTGGCAGTGGAATCTTTGCAGATGTGATCCAGTGAGGGGAGGTCATTAGGAGTGGCCTTACTCCAATACAGCTGCTGCCTTTCGGAGAAGAGCGGACTTTGGACATGCTGTTGTGCATGCTGTTTTGAGGCAGTAGGGCAGAAGGTAGAGCAAGGACTCTGCAGTCCCATGTCATGTGTTCAAATCCCAACTCTGCCATTTAGTAGTTACATGGCTTTCAACAAGATATTTTAATTTTTCTGTGCCTCAGTTTCTTCACCTCTAAAAAGAAGTTAATCACCTACCTCAGCAGTCCCAACCCTTGGGGTCTCGGGCCAGTGCCATAGACCAGCCTGCTGGGGCAGGGCCTGCGCGGCGGGCGGCGGGCGAGGCTCCGTGTGTGTGCCGCGTTCCCCACCACTGGCATCACTGTCGGCTCCGCCTCCCTGACTCCCGGGCGCGGCCCTGCTGTGGGCGTGTGGCGCCGGTCTGGGGGCTGGGCTGCCAGGGCGGTCCGCTGGGGAGCTCCCCACTGCGAGTGGTGTGCTGGGCGTCCTGGTGGGCGTCCTGGGGCCGCCCCTCCCCACCGGTCTATGAAAGGATTATTCCCACGGAGCCAGCCTGGAGCCAAAAAGGTTGGGGACCACTGACCTGCCTGATAAGATTGTTGCATTAAATAGCTTACTGTATGTAAAGCTATTAAAACAAAGCCTGGTGATATGAGGCACTATTATCAATCAGCTCGCCCACAGCAAATCGCCCTAATTTGCTGTGGGTGATAGTATTCTCACTTAACTGACAGGGAAGCTAGGCTCAGAGATGTCACTCTCTCGCCTGAGCTCACTCAGTTCCTATGCAGCGAAGCTGAAATCAGAAGTCATGTTGTCGTGACTCCCAGGCCCACGTTTCGAGATGCAGTGAGACACCACTTTGCGGAAACGTGCTTAGCACGTGCATAGTAGGGACGCGCAGGGAGGATTTGAAGCAGAGAGAGGAGGTCTTGCTGCTCCCCCTGCCTGTTCAGAGGTGACTGTCCTGCGGGGCTGGCCCTGAGCGGAGTGGGCCCCGGCGTGCAGCCCCGGCACGGGAAGAGCGGCTGCCTCAGTCTGCGTGGGCACTCCCGCCGTGCGCGCAGTGCAGCGACGGCAGAGGGACGGCAGTCTGACTTCTAAACCTAGACATCTGTAAGAGGAGACGTCAGTGAGGAAAGGTGCAAACCGCTGGCCTCTGCTACCTTACACTTGAAGTTTGTGCCAAACTAAAACGTGATGCTTTATCATGAGTCTTACTGATATTTCACTCATATATGGTGACTGTTTTTACTGGTTTAACTTATGATAACAAGTCGGACAATTGAAGATACTCAGGAGGTATTTTCCACCCAAACTTTTGTTGTCTGTGTCTTCAAATCAACAGCATATAAACATGATTTCAGGTCCCAGGATGGAATCTTGCAGTATTACGTGCCCATGGAAATTAGCTTCTGGGGAGGAAAATGTCAGTTTCACTAAGAGTGCATTGGTTTGGAGGTCTGCTATGCTTACACCAGCTACTTTAAAGGTGCTAGCTTAATATTGTAAAAAGTGGCCATGGCTATTTAGTTTTCCTTCTGAATTAATTATCTTTCATGTCGATTAATGAGTCCTCCTTTACATTCAGAACACTTACTACCTTGTATATCAAATTCTATCCTATTTGGTTCTGACCCCTTGCTTGCCATTTGGTGAGAACTTGATTAATTTTATATGAAATAAATAAGAAAAAAGTTATTAATGTCATTCTCTTTTTTCATCTTCAGTAGCTAATCAAAATATTAATCAGTTCTTGGATAATTTAAGCAATACTGTTTCTCTTAGAAAGCTGTGAGCATGGGCAGGACTCTTCATCAGTTTGAATGGCTTGCATTTGTTAAGTGCTTCCTAGGTGCTGAACATGGTTCTAAACTCCTGTGTGAAGTCGGTCACTTACAAGAGCAATATCACCTGTACAGCTTGGATATATAGCAAAACAGGTCCAAGCATTGACACTTTTGTGACCTGAAAAAAAATGAATGTTCCCTGGGAAAGCAGTGGGTGAATCCTGTAAACTTTGCCAACCTGTCGAAGTTGCTGGAAGCAGTTTTGTTTAAGAATCAGAGCTCTGCATATGCAACACAAACTGTTTCCATCTATTTTGTGGAGTCATTAGGTGACTTTTGGGGAATGGAAAAATATGTGTATTTTATTATTTGAATAATTTAAAATGCCATAGAGGGTAATGGAAATTTACCTCTTCTCCAGTTGACCCAATCTTGTATGTAAATGATGAATTCTTAATATTTATTTTCCTCTCCTGCAGGTATTTGGGAAATTAACAGATGAAAGCTAGTTTTATTAGCAGTGTGTTGTTTTAATCAATTTAAGGGGACATTTTTATTTTTTCTTTTATGGTGTTAGAACACCCCGACAGTTTTTATCATTGCCACTTCTGACAGTTTATTCATAGTGATTAACATTACAATTGTTACAACAGAAGGTGCCTATAGGGTTGTCTTTCCTGTCTTCCCAGGCAATTGGAAAGGGTGAGACAAGGGCGCTGACGGTTTAGTAGACTGTCTTCTGGGAGAGTGAGGAAACCGCCTCCCCCAGTTTCCTGAGGCTGCAACATTCACCAGCTTGGGACTCTTCCTCTGTCCTCAAGCTGACGTCACACCTGTCTCTGCTTCCTGCATCACGTGCCTTCTCGACTCCTCTTCCAGTCTGACAGACCCTTGGTCTGGAGCTCTCCAGCTCAAGGGCAGCTGACGAGCTACCTTCCTTCACCCTGGCCATGAAACCCAGCGTGTTCACAGGTTCTGGGGGGATGAGGCTGTGGACATCATGAGGGGAGCATTATTATGCCTACAAAATAAAGCTTCAATGTATTGCTGGGGAATTCTTCTGGAAAGCAGTTTGGCAGTCTGTCCCAAGAGGTTTAAAAATGTTGCTGACATTTGACCCAGTGATTCCTTTTGTGGGAAACTGTACTGAGAAAATTACTGTATCAAGAGCACTGCAGAAAGCTGAGCTTTCAGCAGTTCAGGGTTATTTTAGATTTTGAAATTTGCAAGTAACCCTAATGTGCAACAATAGTAGAATAGTTAACTGAATGATGGTGCATGACATGGTGAAATATTTTGGAAGCATATAAAGGAAATGTTTAGCTTTTAAATACCACTGGAAGATGCTGGTAGCAATGTTAATTGAGAAAAAGGGCATAAAATTGTACTTGTATCTATGAAAGTAGTGTGCATTTATGGAAAAAATACATAGAAAAAACTGGAAGAAAATATAACAAAATAATGCCTTGATTCCTTCCTTCCTTCCTTCCTTCTTTCCTTCCTTCCTTCCTTCCTTCCTTCCTTCCTTCCTTCCTTCCTTCCTTGCTTCCTTCCTCCCTCCCTCCCTCCCCACTTCCTTCCTCCCCCAGGCTGGAGTGCAGTGGCTCATAACTCACCCTCAAACTTCCTTCCTTCCTTGTCTCACTCTGTCACCCAGGCTGGAGTTCAGTGGCTCATAACTCACCCTCAAACTTTGGGCCTCAGCCTCCTGTGTAGCTGGGACTACATGCCACTACTCCCAGCTAATTTTTAAATTTTTTGGTAGAGCTGAGGTCTTGCTATGTTGCTTAGGCTGGTCTTGAACTTCCAGCCCCAAGCGATCCTTCTACCTTGGCCTCTCAGAGTGCTGGGATTGTAGGCGTGAGCCACTGGGCCTGACTGAATGATGAGCTCACAGTGAATGAAATCTTGTTCTATTTGTCTTTATTTTCCATATTTTGCACCATGAACGTAAATTAATTTTTCCCTGTGTATCTTTTTCCATCTTTGTAGAGGGATAAATAATATACCGTAAAATCTCACCCATTTTAAGAGTGTAGTGTGACGTGTCACTAAGTGTATGCAGTTGCACAGCCACCACCACAATCAAGTTTCAGAACATTACGACCCTGTGAAGGATCTCGTAAATATTTTTCAAGAAGACTTTATTTTTAGAGCAGATTTAAATTTACAGAAGAATTGAGAGGATAAGGCAGAGTTTTCTCATGTCATATGCCCAGTTTTCCCTATTATTAATGTATATTAGTATCTTATATCTATTACAATTAATAAGCCAATATGGATGCATTGTTATTAACTAAAGTCCAGGCTTTATTCAGATTTCTGTGGTTGATAATCTAATATCCTTCTTCTGCTCTGGGCTCCCATCCAGGATAGGATGGGATTTAGTTGCCTTTACATTGAGTTATCATGTTCATAAATTAATTGTTAATTGGAAAAAAAGCAAAATAAACTTTATTTTTAAATTGTTCAAATATACTAGCTATCCATTTTTTCCTCTTGGTCTCCTTGTTACTGTTGACTTGTTACTTGTTGACAGAGACCATGTCTTATATTAGTTATACTCCTTATTGTTTGTAGCATGGGAGCTTACAGATTTATTAAATAAATATCCACTAATTTAGTGACTGGTCTTCAGTCAATGAATGGAGCAGAAGGCAGGGAGGAAGAAAAGAGAAGGAGGAAGAAAGAAAGGCCCTAACTACAAATAATTTAAAACCTTTGAGCTTTGAGGAACCTTTGGTTTTTGTTGCAATTCCATGTAATGAAATTCTTTTGACTTTTGTGTTTCCAAGGTTGGAGATTGCAACCCTGAATCGAGCAGATGCAGACCTGGAGGCTTGTCGAGCCCAAATCAGCAAGGATATCATTGCTCTTCTGCTGAAAAATCTCAGCAGCAGTGGCCACCTCTCACCCCAAGTGGAGAGGAGGTTGGGTGCTGTTTTCAAAAAGCAGTTTCTGTTGCTGGAAAATGAAATACAAGAGGAGTATGATCGGAAGATGGTGGCATTGATGGCTGAATGTGATCTGGAAACAAGAAAGAAGACAGAAAGCCAGTACCAGAGGGAGATGGTGGCCATGGAGGAAGCAGAAGAGTTGCTGAAGTGTGCTAGTGAAAGGGTAAGGCAGCTCTGAAAGGCAAGTGCTCCTTCCTTGCCTCTCCCCTTCCTCTCAGGGATTTGTCATTTATCCATCCACCCACCTGTGCATCCATCCACCTGCCTGTCCATCCATCCACCCACCTGTGCATCCATCCACCTGCCTGTCCATCCATCCACGCACCTGTGCATCCATCCACCTGCCTGTCCATCCATCCACGCACCTGTGCATCCATCCACCTGCCTGTCCATCCATCCACACACCTGTGCATCCATCCACCTGCCTGGCCATCCATCCACACACCTGTGCATCCATTCACCTGCCTGTGCATCCATCCACCTGCCTGTGCATCCATCCACCTGCCTGTCCATCCATCCACGCACCTGTGCATCCATCCACCTGCCTGTGCATCCATCCACCTGCCTGTGCATCATCCACCTGCCTGTCATTCCATCCACCCACCTGTGCACCATCACACCTTGCCTTTCCATTCCATCCACACACCTGTGCATCCATTCACCTGCCGTGCATCTCCACAACCTGTGCATCCATCCACGCACCTGTCCATCCATCCACCCACCTGTGCATCCATCCACCTGCCTGTCCATCCATCCACACACCTGTGCATCCATCACACTGCCTGTGCATCCATCCACACACCTGGCATCCATTACCGTGCTGTGCATCCATCCACCTGCCTGTGCATCCATCCACCTGCCTGTCATCCAATCCACTACCTGCCTGTCATCCATCCACACACCTGTGCATCCATCCACCTGCCTGTGCATCATCCACTGGCCTGTCCATCCTCCACCACCTGTGCATCCATCCACCTGCCTGTCATCCACCACGCAATTGTGCATCCCATTCACCTGCCTGTCCAATCCATCCCGCACCTGGCATCATCACCTGCCTGTGCACCAATCCACGCAACCTGTGCATCCCCCATCCACGCACCTGTACATCCATCCACCGACCTGTCCATCCATCCACCGCCTGTCCATCCATCCCAACCCGCCTGTGCATCCATCCACGCATCTGTGCGTCTGTCCCCCCGTCTTTGTGCGTCCCCCACTGTGCATCCGT